GCCCCAGTCAAGGTCCACGGGCCAGCAGCCTTCTAGAGAGTGCTTGCAGCGGCCAGAGACATAGCACAATGGGTAGGGCATTTGCCTTGCACAGTTCCCCCCACACCGGGATCAATCCCCAACACCCCATTACGGCCCCCCGGGCCCTGCCAGGAGTGATCCCTGAGCACAGAGTAAGCCTTGAGCACCACCGGGTGTGACCTGAAAACCAAAAATAAAATAAGATAAAGTGTTCTCGCAGGCATCAGGGAGATGGATCAGTGGGCTGAAGGGCAGGTCTGGCTTGCATAAACCCAGGGTTTGACCCCTGGCACTGCGTGACCTTCTGACCACTGCTGGGTATGGCCCCAGAGACCCCTAGCACTACCAGGGGAGCCCTCAAACAAAAACAAAGTGTGCTCGTATGATCTGGAACATGGTTCGGGGGTAGAGTCTATGCCTTATATATTTGAGGGATGGAATTCCATCCCTACCTAGTACTGCCATCCAAAAAAAAAAATTGCAAAAGAAACTTGGCCAAATGGATTTTTTTCTTAAAAATTAGGGTTTAAGGATATGATGTGTTTCGCACGCAGCCAAACTATGTTTGATCCCTGACACATGTCACCCGAGCATTGCTGGGTGCATTTGGAGAGACCTGAGTCTGAACAGTATCTTATCCTCAGGCTCTTGGGGGGTCACCAGTGGGCCCCACAAGGCCTCGTGAACACTTAAGAGGGTTGGGGGGGACATCCCAAAATAAATTGGGATTTATTTTGCAAAGTCCATCCAGCAGTGTGACAATGAAGAAACTTGACTTTCTCTCCTCCCTCACCCAGTGATCAAGTTCCCCTGGGTCTGGAAATTTAACCACACTGCCCCAAACACATAACTTAGAACGGCCATGAAGACACATCACCATGTAAACCCCACAAGGAGGGTTTCTCCATGTGGGAGAAAGAGTACACGAGGTAAGGCACTGGTCTTGCGTGCCATGGACCTCTGATTAATCCCTGACACGACATATGGTGCCCCCAAGTACTGCCAGGGGTCACTTCCGAGCACAGAGCCAGGAATAGCCCCTGAACGCGGCTGCATGATGGAAGCCTCCATGGAAGAAAAGATGTTACACTAAGGAGATGCTATTTCCTGGGTGGGGGGGGGGGAACCTTGGGAGGTGGCTCAGAGGACTGGAGCACATGTTCTGCCCGTAGGAGGCCCGGATGCTGTCATGGGGACAGCATGGATGGTCAATAGCAGCCCCCCAGGAGAGAGCTGGGAGAAGCCCCCCAGCGCCCGCAGGGATTGCCCAAGAAGCAAAATATGGAAGGTTCTTTAGGGTAGAAATTCCACGGAAGTGTCATGCCTCCCAATATGTTTGTCGGCCTGCCTGCCTGCCTGCCTTCTGGCACTCTGGGAGAGGAGGTGGGCTATGGGCCCTGCCCACTGGGGGTATAGAGAAGAAGGTGACTGACCCATTCTGGTCCCCAGGTGTGACTCCAGCCTTCCATGGCAGGACCCAGGACCTCAGAGCATCAGGTTTCATGCCTCTGGGTCCTGCAGGGTTTGGGAAATGACTACGACTTAGAGACACTGAGACCTTAGAGAGTGTGGGGGGGGGGGGGGGGGGACTGGGGAAATGGGCGTGAGTCCACAGGCTGAGAATAGCTGCTGGGTTGCCCCCACACACACATTCACTCGGACCCCTGGAGACTCCTTCCTACTGCCCTTTGATAAGACCCTGCTGGTAGGGGCCGGAGCGACAGAACAGAGGTGAGGATGTTTGCCTTGCACACAGACGATCCAGTTCGATCTCTGGCATCCCTTATGGCCCTCTGAGCACCGCCAGGAGTAATTGCTGAGTGCAGAGACAGGAGTAACCCCTGAGCATCACCAGGTGTGACCCAAAAAAAAGACAAAAAATGAAGAAAAAAAAAGACCCTACAGGGGCTGGAGTGATAGTACAGCGGGTAAGGGGTTTGCCTTGCACAGGGCCAACCCAGGTTCGATTCCCGGCATCCCATATGGTCCCCTGAGCATCCCCGGGAGTGATTCTTGAGTGCAAAACCAGGAGTAACCCCTGAGCATCACCGGGTGTGACCCCAAAAGCAGAAAGAAAGAAAGAAAGAAAGAAAGAAAGAAAGAAAGAAAGAAAGAAAGAAAGACAGACCTTACAGGACAGGCATCCCTTTGCCTTCAGCCCGGACCTGATGTGAGGATGGGATGGCTGGGAAGTAGTTTGTCCTTGATTACATTAAGATGTGGACTTGAGACAGTAGAAATAAGGGCCAGGAGGACTTGTCCACAGCTGGAAGTCGGCCTCAAGTGCTGGGGTCTCGAGAACAGTTGGGATAGAGAAGGGACCACTATGACAAAGATAGCTGGGAGTGATCACTCTGGAGAAGAACTGCATGCTGGAAGTAAGTCAAGGAACAAACATGATAACCTCTCAGTACCTGTATTGTAAACCATAATGCCCCAAAGGGGAGAGAGAGAGAGACAGAAACAGACAGAGAGAAGGAAAGCGACTGGCATAGACAGAGGCCAAGGGGAGAGTGGCAGGAGGGAAATAGAGGACATTGGTGGTAAGAAATGTGCACTGGTGGAGGGATGGGTGTTGGAACACTGTATGACTGAAACCCGACCATGAACAGCTTTGTAACTGTGTATCCCGCGGTGATTCAATTTTTAAAAAAAAAAAAGTGACCTTGAGTGCCCAGGAACTTTCATCGCTGATATCATCAGTGCTGGTAGAAAAAGGGGTATTTCCCATGGTCAGAGCATAAGCTTATTATGACATCTCATTCCTACTTTGACAAACTGGCAGGCTACCGAATGTAGCCTGCCCACACGGCAGAGTCTGGCAAACTCCCTGTGGCGTACCCAATATGCCAAATACCAGTAACAATGATGGGTCTCATTCTCCTAAAGAGCCTTGAATATAATCTCAGGGCTAGGATGAAGGAGACGTTACTGGGGCCTGCTCGAGGCAATCGACGAATAACAAGATGATCTGTGATCTGTGAGAGCATTAGCATCCCAGGCCCCCAGGTGCACTGGGGCATTGGGTCTGTGGAGGTGAGCACAAGGAGGTGAATTCAGGGAGGTGAGCACAGGAAGGTGAACACAGGGTGGTTCTGAGACCAGGTCAGCAGGGTGTGTAACAGATGGTGCTCAAGGTGCCATAGTACGGAAGGCACTTGCCTTGCATACATACCACTGGATTAGATCCCTGGTACCTCAAAGGGTTCCCCAAACCCTCCAGGAGTGATCCCTGAGTGCAGAGGCAGGAGTAAGCCCTGAGCATCATCAGGTGTAGCCTCAAAAATACGATGTTCAAGCTGAAGCAATAGCACAGTGGGGAGGGCATTTGCCTTGCACGCGGTCAACCCGAGTTCGAGTCCCAGCATCCCATAAGGTCTCCTAAGCACAGCCAGGGGTAATTTCTGAGTGCAGAACCAGGAGTAGCCCCTGTGCATTGCAAGGTGTGACCCAAAAAGAAAAAAAATTACGATATTCGTTCACTACTTGATTGGGGGCCAGAGAGATGGCTTGGTGTTTGCCTAACACACAACTGACCTTGGTTCAATCCCCAGCACCACAATATCCCCCCACCTGGCTCCTGAGCACTGCAGAGTATGGCCCCCAAACAAAAAAAAATACTGATTGCAGGAATGGACCCTCTAGGAATATCACCCCTTCATCCAGCTAAAAGAAACATTGGGTAGATGCATTATTGGACAGCTCAGGAACTTCTGCATTCACCGGGGGGGTGCACCCCACTGTCTCACCCACCCTCCACACACACATCCCAGCCCAAATCACACTCAGTCCCAACCCACGCCCTTCAGAATTGAGGCAATGAGGACTGGGCTTTAAGGTGTAGGTGCAGGGGCCGGAGCAATAGCACAGCGGGCAGGGCTTTTACCTTACATGTGGCTGACCCGGGTTCAATTCCCAGCATCCCATATAAATCCCCCGAGCACCACCAGGAGTAATTTCTGAATGCAGAGCCAGGAGTAACCCTTGACCATCACCGGGTGTGAGCCAAAAAGCACAAGAAATAAAGTAGATAAAAATAAAAATAGATAAAAGCACCTGGGGGTGCCCAGGCACAGACAGGACAGAGGCAGCGGCACGTAGTGGTGGTGTGTGTCAGAGGTCACGCAAGTGCCCCCCACTCCTGAGCTGGCCTGGAAGGGCTCACATCCGCATCGGACACCATTGGCTCTCCACGAGTCAACTATGTCTAATGATGGAAAGTCATGGGCTTCAGCTGCAAAGGCAGATCCCCAAAAGGCCTTGCTGGTCCTGTGAATACTACCCCCATTTTATGGGCCAGGAGACGAGGCTCCAAGAGCTTAAATGTCTCGCTTAAAAAAACTCACAAAAGCTGGGGCTGGAGCGATAACACAGCAGGTAGGGCATCTGCCTTGGACGCGGCCGACCTGGGTTGGATTCCCAGCATCCCATATGGTCCCCCGAGCACCGCCAGGAGGAATTCCTGAGTGCATGAGCCAGGAGGAACCCCTGTGCATTGCCAGGTGTGACTCAAAAAGGAAAAAAAAACCTCACAAAACCAACTGGAAATCAGGCATATTTTAAAAAAATTTTTTTCTTTTAGTTTATTCCCAGTCAACCAGTGGAGAATACAGCAAGGAAGGGGCTGGTCTTGCACACAGCCAACCTGGCTCCAATTCCTATGTCCTATGCGGTCCCCTGTCACCACCAGAAAAGAAAAGAGGGCATTGTTGCTCTTTGTGATTATTGCAGAGGGCCGGGGGCATGGATTCATGGCTTACATTTTCGGGGCCTGGATTCACTCCCTGGCACCCACGGCCATAACTGAAACTTTCAATGTAATGAACCCCAAAAATTGAAACCTTGATAAATGAATGACAATGAAGTCACCGATCACGCCAGCCACGTCACCGGCTGAATCTGGTCTGAATTCAGTGAGGGCTAAGTGTGTGGTCCCCACCATGCCCCCTGGTCCCCCAACACAGAAGGGACAAGACATGAGCATTAATAAACAGTTTTATTTGCCTTCGACAGCATCAATTCTTTTACATTCTCAATTAATTTGCCATTAAAGTGCTGGAAATTTCCTTAATCATCATAATATTTTTTTTTAGAAAGAGATTAAAAGGAATGAGGCAGTGAGGAAGAAAACACCCATTTCCACATACAGAATGGGAGCCTGGCACGGAGCCTTTAGCGAGGCAACCTGCAAGTTTGAATCCCTTTCCCCATGAGCACCAAACAGGCCGCAACCGCCACCCTGGGGAAGCCGGGTGCCCAGACATCAGCCTGCAGCAGATCCCGGCCCATTTGGGGGTGGGGTGATACCTGAGGCCATCCCATCTTAGGAGAAACGAAGGTTTCTGCCTCCTTCCCCATCCCTCCCCTGACTAATAAAAGCCCCAAAGTTCATTACCATGAAAAAAAAAGAGTGGGTTTCCAGGACCCCAATACTAATTACGTTCAGTAAAAATGAGAATAATAAAACACAAAAAGCTGGCTTAGTAAACAAGAGCTCTCAGCGTTCGATGCCAAAAATCCAACACAACACCCAAAACTGCCATCTGAAGGGCCGGGATGGTGATCTGGTGCGTGGATGCCACGCGGGCACCGCACGCTAGCAGCTCTCGGGCCCATCTGCCAAGTGTCAGGAGCCCGCCAGGTCGCGGTTACCGCCCAGCACTGGCCCTGGGGAGAGCCGAGGTCACTGCATTATTGCTGAGGCTGCGGGCTCGGGAGTTTATATACAGACACGCCCGGGCTGATGTCGTTTATACATCTATGTACACACTCACAGAAGCTGCTACTCTTTCTTTGTGGACACTGAGAGCTCCACCTCGGGCAGGTGGATGCCGACCTTGGTGCCACTGTCATTGCTCGAGGACGAGGAGAGTCGGGACTTCTTGGAGGCCAAGGACACACCACTCCCCTGTAACTTGCCCGCCTCCTCATCGCTCCCAGTCACCTCATAATGACCTTTGCTCTTTGACCCCAGCCCCCCAAAGGTACCAAATTTCAGCTTCCCCTGCTTCCCTTTCACTTTCCCGCCTTCCACTGACACTTCCCCCCCTTCAAATTCCAAAGTCCCCGTTGGGGTGCAGGGCGCAGAGAGCTCCCTCTCATCGCTGAAGGAGTTGGAGCGGTGCCTGGGCTTCTTGCTTTTAAATAAGGAGAATTTGCTTTTGGGGGAGGCGGTCTCGGCCTCCACCTCGCCCTCCAGAGAGCCCAGGCTGGCCTTTGAGCTCTTCAGGTCCCCCTTGGAGCCTGAGATGGAAGCTTCCGGTGAGCCCGTGACTCCACCTTTCCCTTTGGACTTGGAGAAATTAAACTTGGGCATTTTGATTTTGGACTTTTTGAGTTTGATGTCAGAGTCCTCCCATTCGGCCTCTCCGGCCCCAGCCTGAACATTGGCCTCCATTTTGGGGAAGTTGATATCTACCCCGACTTCTCGGCCAACCAGCTCACGGCCAGAGGTGGTAAACTTGGGGATCTTCATTTTAGGGAATGTAACTTTTCCAGATCCGCTTTCCAAGTGACCTTCAGGCCCAGATATGCTCAGCCCAGGAGCCTGGAGTCCAATCTGCCCACCTTTGACCCCAACTTCTCCCTTTGGTCCTGAGAAATGAAGGCCCCCGGCCAGCCTCGGTGCCTCCACGTTGATGGTGGAGGAGACCTGGGGTCCTTTGAGCTCACCCCCGGCACCCGAGACACTCACATGCCCTGGGCTCAGGCTGATATCCGGGGTGCTGAACCCCCCTAAAACATCCACACCTCCTTTGACTTTCGGGCCCTTCAAGCTGATACCACACTCGGACTCAGAAGTGGCCACGTTCAAGGAAGGCCCTTTGAGGCTGACGTCGGGCATGGCCCCGTGGAGGCCCATTCCAGATCCCTTCAGATCACCTTTGATTTCAGGAGCAGAGATGTGCCCAGAGGGGAGTTTCACATTCACCCCCGGGAGCTCCACGGAACCCCCAGAGGCCTTCACTCCAGGCATCTGGACGCCCCCCTCCAGGCCCTGGACGCTGACCCCTCCGAGGGCCCCTTTCACCTTTGGCCCTTCCAAGTTCAAGTCCACGCCAGGTGCTGAGAGCTGAGGCCCTTTCAGGGTCAGGCCTCCAAGGTTGCCCTCCAGGCCCGGCCCCTTCAGGTCGCCAGTGACTTGTGGCCCCTGAACGTTAATGTCCAAGTCAGACCCTGAAGTGGAGATGCCAAATTGGGGTAGCTTCATTTGGGGAAGCTTAATACCACCTTCGGGGGCCTCCAAGCTCAGGTCAGGAGCCCCCACTGATACTTTCGGGCCCTTGATGTCTCCCTGCAAGTGGGGTCCCTTCAGGGTCACACCGGGTGCCCCCACATTCAAAGATGCCGTGGTGTCTACACCACTGCCACGAAGGTCAAGCCCTGGGGTCTGTATCTTCATGCCAGAGACGGAGGCGTCCAGGTCTCCCTTCAAGCTTGGTCCCTTCAGGTTCAGGTCAAGGTCAGGCCCTGAGATCTTGGGCATGGAGAGGTTCGCTGAGGGTAAATCCACATTGGGTCCTTTCAGAGACACATCGGGCCCTTCCAGCTTCACATCCGGGGCACTCAAGCCTCCCTCCAGAGAGGGGAGCTGGACCCCTGCCACCCCGCCTTCCACTTTCATGCCTGGAACACCAATCTTGGGCATGGAGAACTTGGGGAACTTGATTTTTGCGTCTGGACCTTGCAGATCGACCTCGGGGCCTTCCAGGCCCACACTGGGGACTTCGCCCTTGATCTTTGCTCCTTTCAAGTTTACATTCACATCAGGGGTGGAGATTTGGGGGCCAGAGATGCCAAATGATGGGCCCTTGAGTTTCACATCGGGGCCTTCTACCTGCAGGTTGGGACCTTTCAAGTCACCCTCTATTTTGGGCCCAGAGACGTCCACTCCGGGCATCTTGAACTTCGGGGCCTTGAGCTTGACATCGGCACCTTCCACATGTAGCCCAGGTGAGGAAATATCCAGTTCAGGTGCCTGAATCTCCCCTTCTATTTTGGGGCTGGGGAGAGGGGCCTCGGCTTTGAACTTGGGTGACTTAATGTCAAATTCTACATCTGGGAAGTACATCTTCCCAAACATCGGTTTCTTCGTTTTGGGCGATTTCACATCGACTTTCAAGGCAGCCTCTGGCCCAGTCACACTGACGTCCATATCAGGAGCTTTCAAACTGGCATCCAACTCACCCCCGGGAACAGTCAGATCAAATCCCTGCTTTTTGGCCTTCATTTTAGGACCACTCATGTGAATTTTTGGCATCTTGAACTTACTTTTCTTGACCTTGCCACCAATGCTAATTTCAGGGGTGTCCACATTCAGTTCTGCATCAGGGACAGTCACATCTAGAGAAGGAGATTTGATGTCTGCTTTGGGGCCTTTGGCCCCAAATCCAAACTTGGGTTTCTTGAATTTGGGCACTTTAACATCTGGCCCTTCGATGTTAATATCTGGGCTCTCCATGTGTACATCCAAGCTCGGAGCCTCTAAATCAACCTTGGGGCCTTTGAGATCCAGATCACCACCTTCTAGCTTGGGACCAGAAATTCCAATTTTAGGGGCCTTGAGGTGCAAGTCAATATCTGGAGCTGAAACTTTGGGGGCAGATATGTCCAGTGATGGCATCTTCAAGTTCAGGCCACCAAGTTTGGCATCAGGGCCTTCAACATCCAGACCTGGACCTTTGAGGTCTAATTCTGGGCCTTTGAAACTACCTTCCATCTTAGGCACTGACACATCAAAGTCTCCTTTGACCTTGGGCCCTTTCAAATCCAAGTCAACATCAGGCATGGAGATTTTGGGAGCTTTGATATTTATCTCAGGCATCTTGAACTTGGGGCCCTTCAGTTTGGCATCAGGACCCTCAATGTTCACATCTGGAACATCAATGTCCACCTTGGGTCCAGAGATATCAAGGTCAGCTTTGGGCAGGTTCACATCCACCTCGGGACCCTCTCCCTTGAAGCCTGGCATGCTGAACTTGGGCATCTTCACCTTGGGCATCTTGAGGTGCCAGTCGGGGCCATGAACATCCACATCTGGGGCATTGATGTCTACTTTGGGGCCCTTGAGGTCAATATCAGGACCCTGAAGGTCTCCTTCCACTTTGGGCAGAGAAATATCCACATCACCCTTCACCTTTGGACCCTTCAAGTTCAGGTCGACTTCAGGCATGTTGATCTTTGGGCCCTTGAGGTGGAGGTCAGGCATCTTAAATTTGGGACCCTTCAGTTTGCCCTCTGGGCCATGAATGTCAATTTCAGGAGTGTCAATGTCCAGCTTAGGGCCTTTCAGATCTCCTTCCAATTTAGGAACAGAAAGGTCCATATCTCCCTTTAGTTTAGGCCCTTTCAAGTTCAAATCAATGTCACTCATGGAGATTTGTGGAGTTTTGAAATGTACATCAGGCATCTTAAATTTGGGCCCTTTGAGCTTCCCTTCAGGACCTTCGATATCCACTTCTGGCCCTTTCAGGTCACCTTCCACCTTAGGGAGTGAAAGGTCCACATCCCCCTTCACCTTCGGCCCTTTCAAACTTAAGTCCAAGTCAGGCATAGAGATCTTGGGGGCTTTAATGTGCATCTCTGGCATCTTAAATTTGGGACCCTTCAGTTTTCCTTCTGGTCCTTCAAGGTTGATATCAGGAGTGTCTATGTCCAATTTAGGGCCCTTTATGTCAATTTCAGGGCCTTTGAGATCACCTTCAACTTTGGGGAGAGAAACATCCACATCCCCCTTCACTTTGGGCCCTTTGAGGTTAAAGTCAAGTTCTGGCATGGAGATCTTAGGAGCTTTGATGTTCATCTCAGGCATCTTAAACTTGGGGCCCTTCAGTTTGGCATCTGGACCCTCAATGTTCACATCTGGAACATCAATGTCCACCTTGGGTCCAGATACATTAAGGTCTGCCTTGGGCAGGTTCACATCCAATTCAGGACCCTCTCCCTTGAAACTTGGCATGCTGAACTTGGGCATCTTCACTTTGGGCATCTTGAGGTGCCAGTCTGGGCCATGAACATCCACATCTGGGGCGTTAATGTCAACTTTGGGTCCCTTGATGTCAAGTTCAGGGCCTTTGAGGTCTCCTTCCACAGTAGGTAGAGAAACATCCACATCACCCTTCACCTTAGGGCCTTTCAGATTTAAGTCAAGGTCCGGCATGGAGATCTTAGGGGCTTTAATATTTATCTCAGGCATCTTAAACTTGGGGCCCTTCAGTTTGGCATCAGGACCCTCAACGTTCACATCTGGAACGTCAATGTCCACCTTGGGTCCTGAGACATCAAGGTCAGCTTTGGGCAGGTTCACATCCACCTCAGGGCCCTCTCCCTTGAAGCCTGGCATGCTGAACTTGGGCATCTTCACTTTGGGCATCTTCAGGTGCCAGTCGGGGCCATGAACATCCACATCTGGGGCATTGATGTCTACTTTGGGGCCCTTGAGGTCAATATCAGGACCCTGAAGTTCTCCTTCCATTTTAGGCAGAGAAACGTCCACATCACCCTTCACCTTTGGGCCCTTCAAGTTCAGATCGACTTCAGGCATAGAGATCTTGGGTGTCTTGAGGTGGAGTTCAGGCATCTTGAATTTAGGGCCCTTCAATTTGGCATCGGGACCCTCAATGTTCACATCTGGAGCTTCAATGTCCACCTTGGGTCCAGAAATATCAAGGTCGGCCTTGGGAAGGTTCACGTCTACTTCAGGACCCTCTCCTTTGAAACCAGGCATGCTGAACTTGGGCATTTTCACCTTGGGCATCTTCAGGTGCCAGTCTGGGCCATGAACACCCACATCTGGGGCATCAATGTCCACTTTGGGGCCCTTGATGTCTACTTCAGGGCCTTTCAGCTCACCTTCCACCTTAGGCAGGGAGACGTCCACATCACCCTTCACCTTAGGGCCTTTCAGGTGCAAATCAAGGTCAGGCATGGAGATCTTGGGGGCCTTGATATTCATCTCGGGCATCTTGAACTTGGGGCCCTTCATTTTCGCATCTGGCCCTTCAATGTTCACATCTGGGCCTTCAATGTCCACTTTGGGTGCTGAGATGTCAAGGTCAGCCTTGGGCAGGTTCACATCCACCTCGGGGCCCTCTCCCTTGAAGCCTGGCATGCTGATCTTGGGCATCTTGATCTTGGGCATCTTCAGGTGCCAGTCTGGGCCATGAACTTCGGGGGCATCAATGTCCACTTTGGGGCCCTTGATGTCAACTTCAGGGCCTTTCAGCTCACCTTCCACCTTAGGCAGGGAGACGTCCACATCACCCTTCACCTTAGGGCCTTTCAGGTGCAAATCAAGGTCAGGCATGGAGATCTTGGGGGCCTTGATGTTCATCTCGGGCATCTTGAACTTGGGGCCCTTCAGTTTTGCATCTGGTCCTTCAATGTTCACATCTGGGCCTTCAATGTCCACTTTGGGTGCTGAGATGTCAAGGTCAGCCTTGGGCAGGTTCACATCCACCTCGGGGCCCTCTCCCTTGAAGCCTGGCATGCTGATCTTGGGCATCTTGATCTTGGGCATCTTCAGGTGCCAGTCTGGGCCATGAACTTCGGGGGCATCAATGTCCACTTTGGGGCCCTTGATGTCAACTTCAGGGCCTTTCAGCTCACCTTCCACCTTAGGCAGGGAGACGTCCACATCACCCTTCAACTTTGGACCCTTTAGATTTAAGTCAAGGTCAGGCATCGATATTTTGGGAGCCTTTATGTGCATCTCTGGCATCTTGAATTTGGGGCCCTTCAGTTTCCCCTCTGGGCCCTCAATGTTAATATCGGGAGTGTCAATGTCTACTTTGGGGCCCTTGATGTCCACTTCAGGGCCCTTTAGTTCACCTTCCACTTTTGGCAAAGTCACATCCACATCGCCCTTTATTTTGGGGCCTTTCAGGTTAAAGTCAAGGTCTGGCATGGATATCTTGGGGGCCTTGATGTTCATTTCAGGCATCTTGAATTTGGGGCCCTTCAGTTTGGCATCTGGGCCCTCAATGTTCACATCTGGAACGTCAATGTCTACCTTGGGTCCAGAGATGTCAAGGTCAGTCTTGGGCAGGTTTACATCCACTTCGGGGCCCTCTCCCTTGAAGCCTGGCATGCTGAACTTGGGCATTTTCATCTTGGGCATCTTCAGGTGCCAGTCTGGGCCGTGAACATCCACATCTGGGGCACTGATATCGACTTTGGGGCCTTTGATATCAACATCTGGTCCCTTCAGGTCCCCCTCAACTTTAGGTAGTGAAACATCCACATCCCCTTTGATCTTGGGGCCCTTCAAGTTTAAGTCAATGTCAGGCACGGAGATCTTGGGAGCTTTGATATTCATGTCAGGCATCTTAAATTTGGGTCCCTTTAAGCTTCCTTCTGGACCTTCCAAATTTATTTCTGGGCCCTCAATGTTCATAGTGGGAGCCTCAATGTTGATATCTCCTTTGGGCAGGTCCACAGAGAAATCTGGCCCTTCTGCTTTCAAACCAGGCACACCAAACTTGGGCATTTTCATTTTAGGCATTTTCAAATTCCACTCTGGACCATGAACATCCACATCGGGTGCTTCAAGATGCACTTCTGGTGCCTTGACATCCAGTTTGGGTCCTTTAAGGTCACCTTCTAAACTAGGAACTGCAACATCTAAGTCTCCTTTGACTTTAGGACTTTTCAGATTTAACTCCACATCAGGCATAGAAACTTTAGGAGATGAAATACTCAGGAAAGGCATTTTGAACTTGGACCCTTTCACTTTTCCTTGGACCTCAACATCAGGTGCATTAATATCAACCTTTGGACCTGTGACATCAATGTCTGGTTTTTTAACTTTGACATCCACCTCAGGTGTCTGAACTTTGGAGCCCGAAAAATTAAATTTGGGAAGCTTAAAACGAGGCTTCTTTGCCTTGCCTTCAATGTTCACTTTGGGGCCAGAAATATCCACATCAGGACCCTTTATGTCCAATTTGGGAGCTTTAATGTCACCTTCCAATTTGGGTCCAGAAACATCAATATCTCCCTTAAGCTTTGAGCCTTTCAAATTCAAGTCAATTTCTGGCATGGTGATCTTGGGCATGTTCATGTGCATGTCAGGCATCTTCAGTTTGGGACCTTTTAGTTTACCTTCTGGGCCATGAATGTCAATATCTGGAGTATCTATATCTACCTTTGGGGCCTTGATGTCAAGACTAGGCCCCTTAAGTTCACCTTCTACATTTGGAAGTGAAGCATCCACCTCTCCTTTAATCTTAGGGCCCTTAAGATGAAGATCCAAATCGGGCATGGAGATCTTGGGAGCCTTGATGTTCATCTCAGGCATCTTGAACTTGGGGCCCTTTAGTTTGGCATCTGGACCTTCGATATTTACATCTGGAACATCAATGTCTACCTTAGGTCCTGAGATATCAATATCAGCCTTGGGCAAGTTGACATCCACTTCTGGGCCCTCTCCTTTAAAGCCAGGCATGCCGAATTTGGGCATTTTCATCTTAGGCATCTTTAAGTGCCAGTCGGGGCCATGTACATTCACATCTGGAACATCAATGTCTACTTTGGGGCCTTTAATATCCACTTCAGGAACTTTCACCTCACCTTCCACTTTTGGTAAAGACACATCCACATCACCCTTCACTTTGGGGCCCTTCAAGTTAAGGTCAATATCAGGCATGGAGATCTTGGGGGCCTTGATATTCATCTCGGGCATCTTAAATTTAGGGCCCTTCAATTTGGCATCGGGACCCTCAATGTTCACATCTGGAACTTCAATGTCCACCTTGGGTCCTGAGATATCAAGGTCCGCTTTGGGAAGATTCACGTCTACTTCAGGACCCTCTCCTTTGAAACCAGGCATGCTGAACTTGGGCATTTTCACCTTGGGCATCTTCAGGTGCCAGTCTGGGCCATGAACTTCGGGGGCATCAATGTCCACTTTGGGGCCCTTGATGTCAACTTCAGGGCCTTTCAGCTCACCTTCCACCTTAGGCAGGGAGACGTCCACATCACCCTTCACCTTAGGGCCTTTCAGGTGCAAATCAAGGTCAGGCATGGAGATCTTGGGGGCCTTGATGTTCATCTCGGGCATCTTGAACTTGGGGCCCTTCAGTTTTGCATCTGGTCCTTCAATGTTCACATCTGGGCCTTCAATGTCCACTTTGGGTGCTGAGATGTCAAGGTCAGCCTTGGGCAGGTTCACATCCACCTCGGGGCCCTCTCCCTTGAAGCCTGGCATGCTGATCTTGGGCATCTTGATCTTGGGCATCTTCAGGTGCCAGTCTGGGCCATGAACTTCGGGGGCATCAATGTCCACTTTGGGGCCCTTGATGTCAACTTCAGGGCCTTTCAGCTCACCTTCCACCTTAGGCAGGGAGACGTCCACATCACCCTTCACCTTAGGGCCTTTCAGGTGCAAATCAAGGTCAGGCATGGAGATCTTGGGGGCCTTGATGTTCATCTCGGGCATCTTGAACTTGGGGCCCTTCAGTTTTGCATCTGGCCCTTCAATGTTCACATCTGGGCCTTCAATGTCCACTTTGGGTGCTGAGATGTCAAGGTCAGCCTTGGGCAAGTTCACATCCACCTCGGGGCCCTCTCCCTTGAAGCCTGGCATGCTGAATTTGGGCATTTTCATCTTGGGCATCTTCAGGTGCCAGTCTGGGCCTTGAACATTCACGTCTGGGGCATCAATGTCAACTTTGGGGCCTTTGATGTCAATTTCGGGACCCTTGAGATCTCCTTCCACCTTAGGTAGGGAAACATCCACATCACCCTTCACTTTGGGGCCTTTGAGGTTCAAGTCAATGTCCGGCATGGAGATCTTAGGAGCTTTGATGTTCATCTCAGGCATCTTGAATTTGGGGCCCTTCAGTTTGGCATCTGGACCCTCAACGTTTACATCTGGAACGTCAATGTCCACCTTGGGCCCAGAGATGTCAAGGTCGGCCTTGGGCAGGCTCACGTCCACTTCAGGACCCTCTCCCTTGAAGCCCGGCATGCTGAACTTGGGCATTTTCATCTTGGGCATCTTTAGGTGCCAGTCTGGGCCATGAACTTCAGGAGCATTTATGTCTACTTTGGGACCCTTGACATTCACATCTGGTACTTTAATTTTGCCTTCTACTTCGGGCACAGACATGTCTACATCTCCTTTGATTTTGGGTCCTTTCAGATGCAGGTCCACGTCAGGCATAGAAATGTTGGGGGTCTTGAAATGCATATCAGGCATTTTGAACTTGGGGCCTTTTAATTTGCCCTCTGGTCCTTCCAGGTCAATGTCTGGACCTTTGAGATCACCTTCCAATTTGGGAACATCAACGTCCACATCTCCCTTTATCTTGGGACTTTTTAAATGTAGATCAATGTCTGGCATGGAGATTTTGGGAGTTTTGAAGTGCATGTCTGGCATCTTAAACTTAGGACTCTTCCATTTGCCTTCTGGACCTTCCACAGATACATCTGGCATGTCAACATCCAACTTGGGGCCTTTAATATCAACTTCTGGTCCCTTTAATTCCCCTTCCAGCTTTGGGGCAGAAACATCCACCTCTCCTTTGATTTTAGGTGCCTTTAAGTTGAAATCCACATCAGGCATGGAGATCTTTGGGGCATGGAAATGCATGTCTGGCATCTTAAACTTAGGGCCCTTCAGCTTGGCCTCTGGACACTCCAGATTCACATCTGGAACGTCAATGTCCACTTTGGGAGCTGAAACATCAATGTCGGCCTTGGGCAGGTTCACATCCACCTCTGGGCCCTCTCCCTTGAAGCCTGGCATGCTGAATTTGGGCATTTTCATCTTGGGCATCTTCAGGTGCCAGTCTGGGCCATGAACGTCCACATCTGGGGCATTGATGTCCACTTTGGGTGCCTTGATGTCCACCTCTGGCACCTTCACTTCCCCTTCTATCTTGGGCACAGACACATCCATGTCCCCTTTGATTTTGGGGCTTTTCATGTGTAAGTCTACGTCAGGCATGGAGAGCTTGGGGGCCTTGAAGTGCATGTCAGGCATCTTGAACTTGGGACCCTTCAACTTGGCATCTGGACACTCAAGGCTCACATCTGGAACTTCAACATCTACTTTGGGTACTTTGATGTCCACCTCTGGCACTTTCATTTCACCTTCTATCTTGGGCACTGACACATCCACGTCTCCCTTGACTTTGGGGCCCTTCAAGTGTAAGTCCACGTCGGGCATGGAGATCTTGGGGGTCTTAAAATGCATGTCCGGCATCTTGAACTTGGGGCCCTTCAGCTTGGCCTCTGGACACTCCAGATTCACATCTGGAACGTCAATGTCCACCTTGGGTCCTGAAATATCAATGTCTGCCTTGGGCAGGTTCACATCCACATCAGGACCTTCTCCCTTGAAGCCTGGCATGCTGAACTTGGGCATTTTCATCTTGGGCATCTTCAGATGCCAGTCTGGGCCATGAACGTCCACGTCTGGGGCACTGATGTCCACTTTGGGGCCTTTAATGTCCATCTCTGGCACTTTCACTTCACCTTCTATCTTGGGCACAGACACATCCATCTCTCCTTTGATTTTAGGTGTCTTTAAGTTGAAATCCACGTCGGGCATGGAGATCTTAGGGGCATGGAAATGCATGTCTGGCATCTTGAACTTGGGGCCCTTCAGCTTGGCGTCTGGACACTCAAGGCTCACATCTGGGGCTTCAATGTCCATTTTGGGTCCTTTAATGTCCACCTCTGGCACTTTCATTTCACCTTCTATCTTGGGCACTGACACATCCACATCCCCTTTGACCTTAGGACCCTTCAAGTGTAAATCCACGTCAGGCATGGAGATCTTGGGGGCCTTAAAATGCATGTCCGGCATCTTGAACTTGGGGCCCTTCAGCTTGGCATCAGGACACTCCAGATTGACGTCTGGCACCTCCACATCCACACTGGGCCCTTTAATATCCACTTGTGGACCTCTGAGCTCACCTTCTAGTTCTGGCATGGAAGCATCTATCTCTCCTTTCAGTTTGGGTCCCTTCAAATTCAAGTCCACATCTGGCATGGAGATCTTGTGAGATTTGAGATTCAATTTTGGCATCTTAAATTTAGAGCCTTTCAATTTTCCTTCTGGCCCCTCAATGTCCAAATCAGGAGTATCAATGTCCACTTTGGGGCCAGAAACATGAAGATCAGCCTTGGGCAGGTTCACATCCACATCAGGACCTTCTCCCTTGAAGCCTGGCATGTTGAATTTGGGCATTTTCATCTTGGGCATCTTCAGGTGCCAGTCTGGGCCATGAACGTCCACATCTGGGGCATTGATGTCCACTTTGGGGCCTTTGATGTCCACTTCTGGCGCTTTCACTTCCCCTTCTATCTTGGGCACAGACACGTCCATGTCCCCTTTGATTTTGGGGCTTTTCATGTGTAAGTCAACGTCGGGCATGGAGAGCTTGGGGGCCTTGAAGTGCATGTCGGGCATCTTGAACTTGGGACCTTTCAGTTTTCCTTCTGGACATTCAATATCAACTTCACCAACATCCACATCCATTTTAGGGGCTTTCACATCAATTTCAGGACCTTTCAAGTCCCCTTCCACTTTGGGAAGGGAAAAACCAGCATCAGTTTTCATTTTGGGGCCTTTCAGATTAAGTCCAACATCAGGCAAAGAGATTTTGTGTGTCTGTATGTTCATGCTCGGCATCTTGAACTTGGGGCCCTTCAGTTTGGCATCTGGGCCATGAATGTCAACATCAGGAGTGTCTATGTCCACCTTGGGTCCTGAGACATCAAGGTCGGCCTTGGGCAGGTTCACATCCACCTCAGGGCCCTCTCCCTTGAAGCCTGGCATGCTGAACTTGGGCATCTTCACTTTGGGCATCTTCAGGTGCCAGTCTGGGCCATGAACATCCACATCTGGGGCATTGATGTCCACTTTGGGGCCTTTAACGTCAACATCTGGGACTTTTATCTCTCCTTCAACTTTTGGAGCCTTCACATCATAATCACCTTTAATTTTAGGGCCTTTCAAATTCAAGCTAACATCTGGCATTGATATCTTCTGAGGCTTTATATTCACTTCTGGCATCTTAAATTTAGGACCTTTTATTTTTGCATCTGGACCTTCAATATTCACATCTGGAACGTTAATGTCCACCTTGGGTGCTGAAACATCTATGTCAGCCTTGGGCAGGTTCACATCTACCTCAGGGCCCTCTCCCTTGAAGCCTGGCATGCTGAACTTGGGCATCTTCACTTTGGGCATCTTCAGGTGCCAGTCTGGGCCTTGAACATCCACATCTGGGGCATTGATGTCCACTTTGGGGCCTTTAACATCAACATCTGGGACTTTTATCTCTCCTTCAACTTTTGGAGCCTTCACATCATAATCACCTTTAATTTTAGGGCCTTTCAAATTCAAGCTAACATCTGGCATTGATATCTTCTGAGGCTTTATATTCACTTCTGGCATCTTAAATTTAGGACCTTTTATTTTTGCATCTGGACCTTCAATATTCACATCTGGAACATTAATGTCCACCTTGGGTGCTGAAACATCTATGTCAGCCTTGGGCAGGTTCACATCTACCTCTGGGCCCTCTCCCTTGAAGCCTGGCATGCTGAACTTAGGCATTTTCATCTTGGGCATCTTCAGGTGCCAGTCTGGGCCTTGAACATCCACATCTGGGGCATTTATGTCCACTTTGGGTGCCTTGATGTCCACCTCTGGCACCTTCACTTCCCCTTCTATCTTGGGCACAGACACGTCCATGTCCCCTTTGATTTTGGGGCTTTTCATGTGTAAGTCCACATCGGGCATGGAGATCTTGGGGGCCTTGAAGTGCATGTCGGGCATCTTGAACTTGGGGCCCTTCAGCTTGGCTTCTGGACCCTCAAGGCTCACATCTGGAACGTCAATGTCCACCTTGGGTGCTGAGACATCAAGGTCGGCCTTGGGCAGGCTCACGTCCACCTCTGGGCCCTCTCCCTTGAAGCCTGGCATGCTGAACTTGGGCATTTTCATCTTGGGCATCTTCAGGTGCCAGTCTGGGCCATGAACGTCCACATCTGGGGCATTGATGTCAACTTTGGGTGCCTTGATGTCCACCTCTGGCATCTTCACTTCCCCTTCTATCTTGGGTACAGACATGTCCATCTCTCCTTTGATTTGGGGGCTTTTCATGTGTAAGTCTACATCGGGCATGGAGAGCTTGGGGGCCTTGAAGTGCATGTCGGGCATCTTGAACTTGGGGCCCTTCAGCTTGGCATCTGGACCCTCCAGGCTCAGATCAGGAGCACTAAGATCCACTTTGGGTGCAGAAAGGTCCATCTTGGGCAGGTTCACATCCAGCTCTGGGCCCTCTCCTTTCAGGCTCGGCACGCTGAACTTGGGCATTTTCATCTTGGGCATCTTCAGGTTCCAATCAGGGCCATGAACTTCAACATCCGGGGCAGTGACATCGACCTTTGGCCCTTTCAAGTCCCCTTCCAACTTTGGTACTGTGACATCATATTCTCCCTTGACCTTGGGGCCTTTCAGATGCAAATCCACATCAGGCATGGAGATCTTGGGGCCCTTGATGTTCATCTTAGGACTCTTCAGCTCTCCTTCAGGCCCTTCAAGGCTCACATCTGGAACGTTAATGTCCACCTTGGGTGCTGAGACATCAAGGTCGGCCTTGGGCAGGTTCACGTCCACCTCTGGGCCCTCTCCCTTGAAGCCTGGCATGCTGAACTTGGGCATTTTCATCTTGGGCATCTTCAGGTTCCAGTCTGGACCGTGCACATCCACATCCGGGACATCAATGTCCACTTTGGCACTTTTAAGTTCAACATCGGGCACTTTTATCTCACCTTCAGCCCTTGGTACGGTGACATCATATTCCCCTTTGACTTTGGGGCCTTTCAAATGTAAGTCGACATCTGGCACAGAGATCTTCGGGGCTTTGATATTCATGTCCGGCATCTTAAACTTGGGCCCCTTCAGTTTCCCGTCCGGTCCCTCAATGCTCACATCTGGAGCACTGACGTCCACTTTGGGGACAGAAATGTCCATATCAGCCTTTGGCAGCTTCACCTCCACTTCAGGGCCCTCTGCTTTGACTCCAGGCACATTGAATTTGGGCATTTTCATCTTGGGCATCTTCAGATGCAAGTCTGGACCGTGTATTTCCACATCGGGGGTAGTGATGTCCACTTTAGGGCCTTTCATGTCTCCTTCAAGTTTTGGCACTGTGACATCGTATTCTCCCTTCATCTTTGTGCCCGTGAGGTGCAGATCTACATCTGGCACAGAGATCTTAGGTGTCTTCATACTCAGGTCAGGCATTTTTACGTCGGGGCCCTTCAGTTTGCCCCCTGAGCTCCCAATGTGGACACCGGGGGCTTCAACATTGATCTCAGGTCCTGAAACACTGGCACTTCCTTTGGGGAGATTCACATTCACCTCGGGACCCTCCCCTTTGACTCCTGGAACGCTGAACTTGGGCATTTTCATCTTGGGCATCTTCAGGTTCCAGTCTGGGCCACGCACATCAGCCTCGGGGGCGCTGATGTCCACCTCAGGGCCTTTGCCTTTCCCTTCCACCTTTGGGAGCGTGACATCTACACCCCCTTTCACTTTAGGGGAGACCGCATTAAAGTCCACATCAGCCATGGAGATCTTGCAGGTGCCTGTTTTCCCAGAGGGACCACTGAGCTTGGGGCCCTGAACCTCTAGGCTGGGGGTCTCAATGTCCACTTTGGAGCCCTTCACTGACACCTGAGGGCCTTTCACATCCCCCTGGACTCCGGGAACGGAAATCTTGGTATCTCCTTTCAGTTTGGGGGACCCGAGGCTCAGGTCAACATCCTGCATGGAGATCTTAGGCTTCTGCACGATCATCTCAGGACCCTTGACTTTGGCACCCTTCAGCTTCCCGGAGGCAGCTTCAGGCAGGCTGACACCCGCAGACACCCCAGGGAGAGTCACTTCACCTGCAGGCAGCGTCACGTCCACGCCAGCTGCCTCTCCCTTCACACCGGGCACTGAGAACTGGGGGACTTTCATCTTGGGGATGTTCAGCTTGCCCCCCAAGCCATGAATATCGACCTCAGGGGCTCGAATTTCCACAGCTGGGCCGCTAAGGCTGCCCTCAACTTTGGGAGCGGAGAGGTCCACACCCACGGTCCCCTGGGGCCTGGTCCCTTTCAGGCCTAAGTCACCCTCGAGTGATGGGCTGGTGATGCCGGGACCCTTCAGTTTGCCCTCAACGTTGACACTGGGTGCAGTGACATCCACCCGGGGGCCCTGCACGCTCCCACCGATGGCCACACCTGACTTGCTGCCCACAGAGACCTCAGGGGCAGAAACAGTCAGCCCTGCCTCTCCCTGGCCCGCAGGCCCTGCTGACACCCCAAACGTGGGCACTTTCATGGTGGGGATCTTAATCTTCCCCTCACCACCGCTCCCAAAGGACGGACCCTGCACCTCCACTGAACCACCCCCCAGAGAGGACGAAACGCCCACCCCTGGAGCCTGGACCCCTCCTTTGCCCCCCAAGTCCAAGCCCTTTGCACTGACATTGACTCCCGGGCTCCCCACCTTTACCCCAGGCACGGTGACCTGGACCTGCGTGTGGCCAGCACCTTGGAACTCCGGTCCCAAAGCAGAATGGGCCCCCGCTTGGAAGTCGCCGGAAGCGCCTGAGCCCGCGGGCAGCCTGATCACGGTCTTCCCGGGCTGCGTCTCCACGTCCATGGTGGAGATTTCCGTCAGTTCGTGCCGCGGAATCTTGATCTTGAACTCTGGACTGCTGATGTCGATGTCCTTGGCGCCTTCCCGGCCCGTCACGTCCACTGTGTAGGCCGTGACCCTTCGGGTCACCGTTATGGTACGGCTCTGGGTCTCCCCAAGATCCCCTTCCAAGCCATCCTCCGACCGCAGCCGAGGCTTGATCTTGGTGGTGTAGATGCGCTGGTACTCTTCATCGTCCCCGCTCTGCAAAGACAGGCCGGCAGACGTTGCAGCCCACCCGCCCCACCTCAGACGCCAGCCGCAGCCCAGTCTACAATTCCGGGGGGCAGGAGGGGGGGTGAGAGGGGAGTTGGAGAGGATATTTCCCACTTAGGGAGGTCCCCAAGGGAAGTCCACAGAGCCTAAGGCAGAACATTAGGGACTAAAAAACGAAGGCCAGTAAGAGACAATCTAGCGGGAAAGGCATTTGCCCTGCACACAGCTGACCCAGGTTCGATCCCCAGCACCCCTCAATGGTCCCCCCGAGGCCTGCCAGGGAGTGATTCCTGCGCAGAGTCAGGAGCCAGCCCTTGAGCACTGCCGGGGAGGGCTCAAAAACAACCGAGCAGCGGCATCGCAGGAGGAAAAGATGATGCGGGAAGCAGAGACCATGGTGGGGGGGAGGCGTCAGGAAGGGATGTCCCCTGGGCCACCTGCACCAGGGCAGGGCTCGCCATCAGCCCAGGGCCACCTTCCTGGCAGGCCTCCAGTGTGCAGCTCTCACTCAGCGGCGTGCATGTTCAATCGGTCAGGAGGGGCTTCCTCCCGGGGACCCTCCGAAAACCTCTGTGGAGACAGCGCGTGCTCTGCTAATACCCTCACTCGGAGGATCCCTGACCTGTGACAGAAACAAGCCCCGGGAAGGAGCCGGGCTGTGTCCCTGGACATGTGCAGGCTTCTAGGAACAGACCGGGGGGGCGGGGGGAGGGAGGGTTCCAGGGAAGACCGTGAGGTAGAGCTTGCCCCCATCCCCCCCCGTGCAACACAGCCGACTTCCCTCCCGTCCCGAAGCAGACAGCGGGGGCCAGCGCCCCTCTCCTGCGCCAGCGGACACTCCGCAGGAAGATGTGTCCAGGCTAGGCAAGGCAAGGCAAGGCTGGCCGGACACCGAGACAGCGGAAGAAGGCAGGAGAAGAAAGGACGGGTGAGATGCGAAGGCGGGCAGAAGGCTCAGGACGCGGCCGCGGGGCAGGTGCGGGGGTCACTCACCAGAACCACCTCGGAGCTGTGCGAGCTGAAGACTTCGTGGCTCCAGCCCTGGCCGGGCTCGGGGGAACGGTCCCCCTTGCGGTGCAGTTTCAGCCCCACGGTGTGGTGGCCCATGGTGTTCAGCAGCTGCGTCACCTCAGCCGACTGCAGGTTGTCAAAGTAGATGGTGGCGCCCACGATCTGGTCCCCTGAGCGCGGAGAGGTGGGGGAGAGAAGCTCGTAAGATGCGCCCCGGATTTCGTGGAGGGTGGGGGCGCCACATGCCATTCCTCTGTGCCCAGCACCCGCCCCGGCCAGAGTACCTCCCCCCACCCCACGCCCACCCCCAGTAGTTGGAAGAGAACATGCATCACCAGAGAGACCAGCTCAGGGGCCCAGCACACCACCACCCCCAGCCCACGCCCCGCGGCGGCCACTCACCCTCTTTGACCACCCCAGTGCGGGCCGCAGGGGAATTCTGCATCACCTCCTGCACGAACACGCCGTCGTCCCTCTGGGCAATGGTCAGCCCGTGGGAGCCGCTGCCCTGCCAGTTGGGCAGCAGCAGCTCCCGTGTGGTCTCCTCTTCCTTCTCCATCTGGGGCGCAAGGCAGGGAAAGGGGAGCTCAGGGGGGAGGGTGGCAGGAGAGGAGGAGGAAGGAGCCCCGAGTCTGGAGCCGGGGATGGTGAAGAGAGGGCAGGCGCAGTGCAGCCTCGAGGTGACCAGTCCTCGCCCCACAGCCCCCCTCCTCTCCCTCCTTCCTCCTCTCTTCGTCCACTGACCTTCTGCAGGACTCGTCCAGGCGCAGATGCCTTGCCAGGAGCCCGCCCCGCCTCCCTCGCGTCTCTTCGGTCTCAGGGGTCTGGGTCACACAGCCTGAGGGGAAAGTTCACAACAGGTCACGGCTTGCAGGCTGGACAACCCCCCGGTCAGCCAGAGTCAGGGGCACCTAGCTACATTGTTCTCTGGGTGCCAAAGCCCGAACACAGGCCCCCTGCCCCCTCATGACCACCACCACCAAAGTCATTCCAGGACTCTCCAGCTGGGAAAGTTGGTCCGAGGAGGCCACACTCAGATCCAGGTCACGGCTGTGTGACTCTGGCCAAGTCACTAAACCTCTCTGAACCTCCATTCCCTGGGACTTCCGAGAGAGCCTTTGTGGAGCAGCATGGGCACACACGCAGGCACCTCGAGACCTGCGCGTCCCCATCCCGTCCTTCCTGCCAGCTGCAGATTTGCCCGTTAGAACCGATGTGATTTGACAGCTGTGCCCCTTTGACAGATGGGAAGAGTGAGATTCAGGACGGCCCATTTGTCTGGGATCCACAGTCCATTGAGGACTCCCCCTACCCCAGGCTCAGACCCGACTCTGCGACTCCTCCTGACCCTGCAAACTGACAAGCCTCGCCTCGGAGGGTCCCTGACACTGAGGCAGGCTGAAAGCAGGGGTGGCAGGTCCATCTGCCCCCCGCCCCCCAGGGACTCAGGTCCCCTGTCTAGGCCGGTTGTCGGGACCAGGCGCCTCCTCAGCTCAGTGTCTGGGAGCTCTGAGAGGCCACTTGGACAAAGGCAACTCTGGCCTTGCCAAGAGGGACCCAAGCCAAAAGCGGCTGCCTTGAGGCTGGGGGGTGGGGTGGGGGGGGCGGCGGGACCGCTGCCTCCGGGGACCCACGCCGGGCCCTAGGCCAGTTGTCTGGAGAAGCGGGCACCTTCCACACCCCAGCCATGGGATAGTCCGAGCAGGACTCTGGAGACTGTCCAGGGCAGCAGCCAGGTGGGGAGGCACAGTGCCTCCAGGGGCGAGAGGGTCAAGGGTGGGGGGGGGGGGTCGCTCGCAGCCGGGAGGACCTTGCCCACAGCCCCACCCCGACCGACCAAGAGCGTCCGCATCCGGGAATTACTCAACGGATCAATAGGGACCCGCCCCTGGCCTGTCTTGCCCTGCGCTGGATGCCACAGAGAAATACTTGAGGGTGTGCGGGCCATTGGGACCCCACTCCCGCCTCAGCCATCCCCCACCGACACCACCCTACGGAGGTGCGGGAGACAGCTCCTGGGCCAGAGAAGTGCGGGCTTAGGAGGACGGGTGGAGGGTTCAGGTCTGCCCCCCCCACCACCACCTGCATCAAGCAGGGTGTAGCTCCCAAACCTGCACCAGCTAAAGTGGCAGTTCCTGCCTCCCCCCACACCCCCACCCACCCCCAGCCCGATGTAAACAGGTGAGCAAGTAGTTCCGGGTGTGCAAACCAGTTAGCCTCTAAATGCAACGTTCCAGAAAACGCGGCGCTTTCTGCAGGGAAGGCAGGGGCCTAAACGGGGTTTCAGGATTTTGTTCAATGTCACCCGCACTTGGCAGCTGGGGCGTTGGGGAGTGCATAGATGGCTGGCTTAGGACAGGAGGGGAGGCCTGAACTGTCCTCACCCCCTGACCACTGACCCTTCCGTCCTGCTCTGACAGCAAAGTCAGAGCCTCCTGGGGCTGGGTAGGCAGGAAGAGGCAGCAGCGTAGGCACTGCAGATGAAAAACCGCAGGCACTCCCTGCGGGCACCCCTCTTCCTCCTGAGTGTGGCACCCCTCTTCCTCGCCACGCATCCTGGTGCTGAGCCAGCAGCTGCAAGGGGGGCACACAGCCAGCTCACCCCTACCCACACCGCGCCCCACCCTCCCTCTTCCCCGGTGAGTCACTGCAGCAGCTGGCTGCAGCTCCAGACTTGCAAAGGGTATACATCCAACACCCCGCTGACAAAGAGCTCCCCGGGCTGGTGACCCCCGTGGGACAGAGGGTCTGGGCTCCAGGGGAGAGCCGCGCGGGGGATTGCCAGGTCCTTGGGACCGGAGATCCCAGGCCAGGAGGCCCTCCGGGGGAGCCCAGCTCCGGGGCTCAGAGGGGTTGGCACATGACTCATGCTGCACCCCAAGTGGAATGAGGAGGGGACAGGGTCAGCCCCCCGGGGGGTCAGGGGGCAGAGCTGGGAGGAGGATAGGAGCTGTATGTCGGAAGGAACGCCTGCAACTGACTCAGCCTTCCCAGGAGGGACCCTCCCTCCCTCCCTTCATCTCAGAACCGCACTTCCGACGGCCAGAGAGTCCAGCGGTGGAGACAGTGCACACACCCTGAGCTCGCCAAGAGCCATCACCAACAAAGAGCTGGGGACGGTCCCCCCACACTGCCAGGTGTGGCCCGAGCACTAAGCAACAGAGCTGGGCCGTGCAGATGGTCAGGTTGGGGGTGGGAGGGGTGGGGATGCCTGGCAGGAGGCCCCAGGCCCCAGCAGCCAACACCTGTTTTCTGCCTCCAGAATCTCTGGCTGCCCAGGTAACCTCCCATGCAGCAGGTGTGTCAGCCTTCTGGGGGGCTGCACGGGAGAGCTCAGGGTTTGGGGGAATCTTGTTCCTGCAGCCAAGAGTCCTAACCTTAGGGGCTGGAAGAAACCCCAAAAGTAGCCCCATTTAAGGAGGCTCAGTTGGAGAATGGGCTCCCACCCAACACTGCATGTTCCTCCCTGGAAGAGACCCCAACCACCTGAGCATCGCCAGGTGGGACCCCCGAAATAAGAAGATTAGATTAGATTTAGGACTGGGGAGAGGGTTCAAAGGACTAGAGGCAGGCTTTGCACGCCGGAGGCCCGGGTTCGATTCCCAGCACCACCCAAGAACCGTGCCTGAAATATAAAGCCCCTCCAAAACCAAACAATATAAAGCAAAACGATACGGAACGTTCAGTTCCCTAGCTGCGCGAGCCGCATTTCACACGCTCCACGGCCCCATGCGGCTACTCTCTAGCACACACCATCGCCCAGAGAGAGGGTTCCCAGCACTGAAGAAGGTTCTGGGGATTGGCCTGCCTGTCGTCACAGAGGCGGAAAGCAAGACCCAGAGCAGAAGAAATGGAAGCGGGAAGCGGGGGGAAGAGGAAGCCCTGGCCGCCCCAATGGCCAGTGCCCACCCACACAGGCTCACAGATGCCTCGGAGCACCCCCAGAGCTGCTGGGCAGCAGGGACTCTTGGAAAGGGGGGGCCGTAAGACCCTCCCGACTGCCAGGTGGAGGGATGCCCCACCTGCCCTCCAGACAGAGTCATCAGGACCGGGAGCAGCCAGAGAAGATTGAGGCTGTCCTGGTGATTCAAACCCTCCTGCAAAGCCCAGCTGGTAGCTCTGAGTGGGGTGTGTGTGTGTGTGTGTGTGTGTGTGTGTGTCTGTGTCTGTGTGTCTGTGTGTGCACACGTGTTCATGTGTGTGCACGCATGTGCATATGTGTGTGCATGTGTGCATGTGTGCATGTGTGCGTGTGTGCGTGTGTGCATGTGTGCATGTGTGTGTGCGCATGTGTGTGTGTATGTGTGTCTGTGTCTGTGTGTCTGTGTGTTTGGGGGAAGGGGGGGCTAGGAAACCATAGAGCAGGGCCAGAGGAGGGTAAGAGGGCAGGGAGCTTGCCTTGCACACAGCTGACCCGGGTTCGATCCCCAGCCTCCCTATTGTTCCCTGAGCACCACCACCAGGAGTGATTCCTGAGTGCAGAGCCAGGAGTGAGCCCCGAGCATCGCCGGGTGTGACCCCAAAAACCAAACAGGAAAACCACAGAGCACACTCTAGGCAGATGGTCTCAGCTGCGCTGTGCACTCAGACGCCTAGAAACAGGGGGCCTCTTCCCCCCAGAAGCCAGCCTGAAGACAGCCTGGTACCCCTGCTTCTACCAGAGACCAGATGGCCAGACACTGGTATCACACACACACCCCGAGAGTCGGGCCCAAGGCCCCCCATGCCTCGTGCACCCCAGGAATGAGGTACATGCCAGAGGGGCACAGGTCTGTACATCTCCCCAGCCCCGGCAGGACACTGGGGGTAATGTCACGGGGAGACAGAAGCAGCCCAGCCGGAGTGTTCCCCCAGCACGGAGCCAGCAAACCGGGCAGCCGGAAACACCTTCCACACGGGCGCCCACAACCCCCCAAAAAAGAGAGGGTGGTGGTCAGCCAGGAAGGCGCTTGCCTCATCCCCCACAGAGTGCGGCACCCCACGGGGTCCCCTGCTGAGCAGAGAGCCAGGAGGGAGCCCCGAGCATTCCTGGGTGTGGCTCAAAACCCAGAAAGAAAAGAAAAGAAAAAGACACACCCAGTAGTGTGGAGAGGTGCCTTCTGCCAGGAACACTCCCCAGCTGGCTCCCGAATGCTCCCGGGGAAAGGACACCCCGACAGGTGGAAAGGGAAACGGGGCAGCGTTTTCGTATCCGGGACTGCGCGGTGGTTCCATGCCCCGGGTCTCGTTCCAGGCCCAAACAACGCCCTGCGATGAAGAAACCCTCTCCTCCTGCTGAAAAAGGAGCAGCAGGGTCCCAGAGCTATAGTCCAGCAGGAAGGGCGTTTGCCTTGCACGTGGGTGACCCGAGTTCAATCCCCGGCATCCCATATGCCACCCCCCCCAAAATGCCCCCACCCCAGCACTGCCAGGAGTAGTTCCTGAGTGCATGAGCCAGGAGTAACCACTGTGTATCACTGGGTGTGACCCAAAAAAGCAAACAACAACAACAACAAAAAAAAAACAAAACAGGGGGCTGAAGCGATAGCACAGCGAGTAAGGCCTTGCACGCAGCCAACATGGCTGACACAGGTTCGATTCCCAGCATCCCATATGGTCCCCCGAGCACCGCCAGGAGCAATTCCTGAGTGTATGAGCCAGGAGTAACCCCTGAGCATCGCCGGGTGTGACCCAAAAAGCAAAAAAAAAAAAAAAAAAAAACCAGCAGGGCCCCCACTAGCGCCCCCCAGAGGAGGGGTCAAGGGAAACTCTTGGGAGAGAGGGAGATACCAATAGATTCACGCCCCCCCCCCCGCCCCCTCCCCGCTTGATACACACAAGTAACCACAGAGGGAGCCA